AGAAGGATTAGAAAAATCTTTTCTCAACCTATCAAATTCCTGTAGACTTAGTCTTTGTAATTCTTCACGTGCATATGTTGCTGTCTGTTTTATCAATTCAGTTGTATCTGATTCCCATTTGTTGGTTGTCTCTAATTGTGTTCTGATATAAATTGGTTACTGCTGTTCAAAGGGTATGGAAAGTATCTGTTGCAGCGCATTTCTCTCGTTCGCTACTACATTTTCGAATAACTCCATCAGATACTGCCGGTTACGTAAAATATGTTGCAAACAGAAGTGATTTGGACATTCAACAAATAATAGCATACCGTGTTTTGGCTTTCGTTCATTATCGTTAGTCTCACATGTAGGGCAAAGCTTCAATAAAGTGGCACTAACCATTATTTGTCAAAGAAGAATATGCCTTTATTTATATGATTTGTTTTTAATCAAAACGTAACCATATATAAATGTGGAAACATCGGATTTAAATCTGAGAGTTATGTGTCCTTCAAAAAGTGAATTAGGCAGATGAGCCATCTTAGAATGTGTGGTCATAAAAATTATCCTGGCAAACCTTGTCTATTAACACCTGAATTCTATTGGCTACTGCTCAACCAATAGGATTTGCGGGTGAATACAGCTCAGATTTGAACTCTTCACCTTGATTTACCTTAAGAAACTCGTTTTTTCTATAACTTGATTTCTATTGGTTACTCCTCAATCAATGGGATTTCGAGGCGAATACAACACAGATTCGAGTTATCCGCGCCAGAAAGCCTCGAACTATCATCTTTGTGATCGAAAGATAGAGCTATAATTGTGGACCACATAGAGGGTGGAAAAAAACAGAATTAATGCCTTTTTAATTATCTTTGCAATAGACGAGTTAGCCTTCTTGTTTCTTTATGTTCCATATACCATTTTGTAGCTCGTGAAATTCTCTATCGGATGGTATATAATAGTTGGAGTTTTATTTGATTATAATAGTAAATTTTTTTTTACAAAACTGGGAATAGATCGATTATCCTATAGGAAGCCATAGGGAAAAATGACTATCTTTGTATAACTCAGGAACGGTTCGGCCAATCATCCTCATCTTCGAATTCGACCGAGATATTGTTAAGACTGAACTGTGTAGAAAATTTCATCGCAATCGGACTCTCCTTTCAAAAGTTATCGTGTAAACGGACGGGCGGACACACTGACCAATTCAAGGGGGAAAAAGCGGATTATTTGGGATTTTAAATCCGAAAAAATCCCAAATAATCCCAAATAATCCCAAATAATCCCAAATAATCTCAAATAATCTCAAATAATCTCAAATAATCTCAAATAATCCCAAAAAATCCCGAAAATCCCAAATAATCCCAAAAAATCCCAAAAAATCCCAAAAAATCCCGAAAAATCCCAAAAAATCTTCTTCGGATTTTAGAATCTGTAAAATCCCAAATCCGCTTTTTCCCCCTTGGACCAATTCTAGAGTGTATGAACTTTTTGAGTAGACACAAAAGGAGGGATAGAGAACAGAAAAAAAACTTAAAATTCATCAGTATTCTTTTGGCAAAATAATTGAGATTACTGAAGAAAAAAAGCAAAGAGGACTGTTCACTATGACTACTTTCCATTTCGGAATAGAATCACTTCAAAAAATTCAGGTTGTGTATGATTCGCGTGAACAATTCGCCAGCAGATTATATCATAATTGGTTCTGCAATGTTTTTGTTCTCTATCAAAAGGCAAAGAAACATGTACTAATTTAAAAGTAAATATATGGGAAATAATGAGTTACAATAATGAATATAATAGAAGATATTAAAAAAACAATATTAAATACATTTAGGCGAATATTTTAATTAAATTCAAAATAAATGCATAACTATAAATCACATTCTTCGGGCATTTTTGGTTGGATGAACTACAATAATATCAAACAAAATCGAATGTACCCTTAGGCAATTCTAAATAGATTAACGGTATGTTCATGAGTTTCAATCGATAAAGAAGGTACTTGTTAGACAGTTCTTAAACTGGTTAGCGAATAAATAAATCATTCAACTACAATAACATCTAATGATCTAAAGCCAACCAGCTATATGGAATTCATCAATAACATCAATTAAAGAAAAAACAGGAGGAGCAATAGAGTTTTATATATAGAATAGAAGGTATAAACACCCACAGAATATGCAAAGAATATTAATGAACAGTTATAGAAAATACTAAATATTTTGTTTAGTTGTAATTCACATATTTTAAAATGAGTAAAACACTTGAACATACTAATCTAATTTAAATCACATATGTCAACTAAAAGAAAGCCAATGGAAGAAAAGCCAAAAGAAGAAGAATCATCTTGCTGATGTGACAAGTCGAAATTTCTAATCAGATTATTGAAGAATTTGAACTATGTATTTCAATAAAACCTTTGTTCATTATCATTGAGTAATGAGATTTATTGCGTGTTTATCTAAATTTTCATTCAGGTTGAAGTGAAAGAAACATTACTAGCAATACATCTTAATCCGTCTTTGGAAGCTGCTAGTGAATTGAAGGTTGTGACATTCAACATTAGTACTGATAAATGTACGACAAGTATTGATACTTTAAGCCACAAAAATAATGCATAAAACACAGAATATTTTTTTTCGACAATGAGAATTCGGATCAGATAACACTAATAAAAAGCTTTTTTATTGATCAAAAAATGGTCAAATTTTCATTTATATTTTCCTATTATAATATTGACAAAAGGTGAAAAGAGAACTGCACTTCACAAATAAATGATTTTTAATTAAACTGATTTCTGTCAATATGGCCTAAACATTATTGACGTACAGGATAAGACTTTCGAACTATTTTGTAAATGCTATGATCGTAGTGAATCTTTGCATAAATCCGTCAATACATTTGAATGATAAGATTAACATATCAATTAGATTTTTTAAAATATTGATTATTGTTAATAATAGAGTAAGGAAAGAGAAATAATTCATATTTCCCCTTCGCAAAAACTGTGTCATTAAGTTGCCAGAGATTCATTTATCATAATCTTGTATTTGAGGATGTACACAAAAATTCTGCATTATTTGAATCGCGAAATATGTTAAAGAATTGAAAATACACAGAAAACAAAGCCAGTTACGGACTATTTATTCTACTTCAAATAATCTGAATCTAGGATACTTGCCCGCAGAACATTTGCCCGCCGGACAAATGCCCGAAGGACACTTGCTCGTAGGACACTTGCTCGCGGAGGACACATGCCCGCAACGGACACTTGCCCGCCGGACAGTTGCCCGTGTGGGGACACTTGTACACAATGCACCAGGATACTTGCTTGGTGACGATTTAGGAACTATAAACTTATTACATTATTGAAAAATTACTGCATCTTGTCAACAGAGTTATGTGAACTAGTGATATCAAACTATCCTCCAACAATCGTATGACTTCTCAAGAATCTATCAATACTTAATCCTCATGCTTGTGTTTGTGTCTGTTCGTATTCCTTTCTTCCATTTCTTTCGACAAACCATTTTCTTTCTATTCTATATCGTTTTTCTCGCTCGTTTTACATAGCTTGGTTCTAGAGTTAGGTTGTGCACATCCGAACATTTGGAATTCCGCTGAAAAAAGACCAATCGATGATCGAAGTCGAATCAATCCAAACCTGAGCCGGGATTAGACGACTGAAATATTTGGTGAAACAACACCAACAAATAATAGTTTTGAATATTTTGAATGAATAGTCGACAACAAATTTGGAAAAATAGTAGCACTAGCCATTAACACCCTGGTCAAGTCGGCCAAACTTATTTTTCTTGAACTTGATAGGTCGTTTGTTAATGGCCCATATTGTTGTAGGTTTCCACTTCTGCATTCTACTACTTATAAGATGTATATATAACTGAGTTGATAAAATGAATAAGATTTTGAAAGCAATGAAATTAGTCCCCTTTGTTTCGAAGAATAGTAGTGCGCATTTATTTTGCGGGTAAGTGTCATGCAGGCAACTGTCCCGCGGGCAAGTGTCCGCTGCGGGCATGTGTCCTCCGCGGGCAAGTGTCCTACGAGCAACTGTCCCGCTGGCTTCTGTCCGGCGGGCAAGTGTTCTGCGGGCAAGTGTGCGTATACCAAATAATCTTTCTTATCTTTTATCGAAGATAAAAATAAATATTACAAGAGAAGAAATCCGACTTTTAATAACTGAATATTTATAAAATGAACTTTTCCTATTTAGGATTTAGGTATTTATATACATTGAATGTAAGTTAAATGAATGTTTATATCAGATTTCAAAGAGAAATTCAATTCTTGTTCAATATTCAAAATGATAAATGCATTTAAATTAGATCAATCAATAAACATAATGATGATTATCAAATATATCCCATAAGAAAATGAAGATTATTTATTTTAATTGCAATTCACAAATTCAGAATCATATACAGCTATTCCTAGATGGTTATTACAGGGATTGCAAATGACTGATCTCATTTATGTCTAACATATTTTTAGAAAAAGAAAACAAGAATAAGTGTGTAAATACGAAGAACAGATCACAGAAAGGCATGTGCAAATTTGTATCTTGGTATTCGTTCTAAGAGTTATATGAGATAGGAAAAGACCCGAATCGTGTAATTGATCGGAGTAGTTAAGAACGGTTTGTACAATTGCAATATTACTCATTTTGAATGACGTGTTGAATCAAATGGCATTTCAAAATTCGATTGTACATCAGTTCTTAATAATATTCTGAATATAAATTTATATTCTTCCTATGGATTCGGCAAAATACCTCCATTTTCATCAATTTATAATATCATACGATTTAACTTTATCGTAATAAAATAATGATAATATTGATTCTTTTTTGCTTCTGGGATTTTAATCAGCTTCATTAACCTTGACAAAAAAAAAATCCTGAGTCAAATAATAAACGAGAAAATCAACATCTGGTATCTTATTGCCATAAATAAAAGCTACATGAAATCGAAAGCATAAAATATTTTTCAACGATGAAAATATTGACTTTATTATTTATTGTTTATCCATTATCCATCAATATTCAAAGTAAAGTCATTTTTCTGATTAGAAAAAAACCAACTCTGATTTTCATCTATGTTGTAATTTAGTTTGTAATGGAGAAATTGATTGTAGCATCTATAACAATGATCTTCATGCTATTGATGTAAATCAATTTTATATTCCAGCTTCTTGGGGGCCTAATAATTATACTTATGTCAATTACGATAATTATTTCAGAGTCACAGAATTTTGTGTATTTAATGATCTTAATCCATCTTTAAGTGTTTATTGTGTGCAAAATTTAGAACAACTCAGATTAGTCAATACAAATTTAACTATTTTACCTGAAATAAAAAATTTTCAAAGATTACAATCATTAATAATTGATACAGATAATGGTGTTATTGATCAACATTTACCATCTGAAATTGGACAATTAGGATCTTTATTGGCTTTAAAATTATCTAACATTACGTATCTTGAAGATTTACCTAATGAAATTGAATATTGGACTAAATTACAATCCTTAATATTAATTGGAATTCCAAATTTTAATAAAATACCAGATGAAGGTTTTGGAAAATTATCTCAACTTACTGAATTAAGATTTATTGATTTACCAAATTTATCAAATATTCCATCAACAATTAATAATCTTCAATCATTACAACAATTAGAAATAAACAAAACAAATATAAATAGTTTAGATTTAGAAAGCTTATATTCATTAAAATCAATATTAATTTCATTAAATCCAAATTTAATCTCTTTAAATATGAAAAATCTATCTCTTGTTGCAACAATATCAGTAACATATAATCAACAATTAAAAACTATGACATTAGAAAACTTGCCCAAATTGTACATTTCTGAATTTTATTCATTATCAAGTCTTGAAGAAATTTCATTTGAAAATGTACTTTCTTTATCAACTATTTCAATTGTATCAAATCCTAAGCTGAAAAGTATTTCATTTATTAATATACCAACAATAAAAAGCCTTATATTGTCTGAATGTGAACTAACAACGTTTCCTGAAAGTATTTTAACATTAAAATCTTTACAAACATTAAACATGAAATCAAATAAATTGTCAGCATTACCATTAACATTTTCAACTGATTTACCAAATTTAAAAATTTTGAATTTGGAGAATAATCAATTTCAAGGATATATTTTTCAACCACCACTTATTTATGTTCGTGAACTTTATTTAAATGATAATTCATTCACGTTTATTGATGGTATTGGAAAATATAAATCTTTATCAATATTACAATTAAATAAAAATCAAATTTCATCAATTCCGCTTGAAATTACGGGAATATCACCAACATTAACTAGACTATTCATTGAAAACAATTTATTAACTGATATTCAATATTCTATGGTTAACATGAGATCATTAAATGTGTTTTATGCTAGAAACAATTCTATTCCACTTGAAAAACGCACTGCTCTCGAACAATTATTCGCAAGAGCACGAAAGGCATTTCACGTATAAAAATAATCATCTTTTATAGTAAGTAAATCGAGACATGTTGATTTACTAAATAAAAAAGAAATTCAACTTATAAGGAGACAACAATATTTTTCTTCGACGTGAAGATTTCTGATAGGAAAACTGATAACTGAATTCTTATAACTTTGAACTGTAGCACACAAATGAACTATTTAAATAGTCAAGAAAAAAAAATTGAAAATTTTCGAAATATGAACAAGTCAGATAACGATAAATATAATAAATTAACCGAAACAATTAATAATCGTATTTATCTCTTCAAAAAATGCATATTATAAAAGTAATTCTGAATAATAGATTTTTTCCTAATATTTTCAAATGAGACAATTGAATAGACAAACAAATTTGATACTACATGCATAGAGAATATTAGCTAAACGACTCACGAGATCGATATTAGTCAGAATTCTTCTAATTAAGACATTGAAGTCTTCATACACACTAACTACTCATATACCATCGACAAAGATATGGTTATATAACAATTATTTAATAATCATACTATTGGCTAGATAGCTCAAAGCAACAAGATTTGTGTCACTTGTCTAAAGTTATTTCATGATAATTTGATTCAAGTCTCAAGTATGAAATATCGCAGATATACATGTAGCAACGAAGTCACTTGATAAATAGCTGCTTGTAAGAAAAACTAAACATTTGTCTGAACGCCGAAGAACACTAACAGTATTCCTAGATTCAAAATCTACATAAATAAAGGTGACCACATAATAATCTCAATCAGTATTGAAGAAATCTTTGTGGAAGTAATGAATGTCTGGTCTGATTATGAAATTTTGATAAAAAAAATTATTAAACACAAGAAACATTTTTTTTAACAAAGCCATTATGTGTTTACATTAAATACTGCTTACAAAAATCTAAATTTATGAACAACTTTAAAATTCTCTATATCTTCGATTTATGGTTTTTTCTATAAATATTGAAATATCACTTAGATTTAGTGTAAGTGAACGATAGTCCAAAATTCTTCACAAACATGTTTAATATCAGTAAACCGTTCATGCTCGAAAAAAACAAGGTCTCATTCGTCAACTACAGGATTATGGCATAGTAAAAGAATAATATTTTGAATATTAATATTAAAAAATTCTTTCTTCTTGATCGATAAATGTAGAAGATCATGCCTGTGGGTGTAGGTGTGGGGTGGGTGTGTGGATATGGGTGTAGTGGGTGTGGGTGTGGGTGGGTGTGGGGTGTGGGTGGGTGTGGGTATGGGTGTGTGGGTGTGGGTGTGGGTGTGGGTGGGTGTCGGTGGGTGTGGATGTGTTTGAGTAACTAGAAGTACACCCACACCCACACCCGAATTTTAATCAACAGAGAATTTTTCATTAAAACCTATCAATGATTTCTTTTATATTCGAAAAAAATTCAAAATATATTTTTTAAATCAGATTGGAATAAAAAACCAAAGTAAAATTTCACTAATTAAGATAAATATGTAAAGTGATATTACATTTTCAGAACTTTTTAGAAATAATTTCTATTTACATAGAGTTTTGTATGAGAACCCGAACTTAAGATTTAGAATGAAATGACACAAGGTAATCGGTATGTAAATTGAGGGTCTATAAATCCATATCGTTTTATTTCACATAGGACCTGCATTAGCAAAAGCATAATTCCAATAAATTGGTTCTGGTAAAACAGTAGAATCACTTGAAAAACATGGATTGTTCATGATTTGTTAAATTGACTAACCTTTATTATTTTTAATAGTAAATGATTAAACTTACTATTAATCCATCACATTTCCATTGTTTCTTATTATTAAGATAATCAGAATTCGATGTATAAATTCTTAATTCATAATTTGACGTAAAACTATATTTATCATTTCTAATAGGTGGATTATTTAACGAAGAATTTGAACAAAAATTTTGAATTTAATCCTCTTAAATCAAATGTTATTCACCCGTTGAGTCCGGGAGTATTTGTATATAGTAAAAAGAACGGGAGACAGTTGACAGACAAATTGGTTCTATAAAAAGTTTTTGACTCGAAATCTCAATTATGTTATACCAAACGAAAAAGTTCAGTGAGTTGAGCATTTTTTTGTAACAGAACATCGTCTATTAAATGAAACCATGAAGAGTTCGGAGCGCAACAACGACTAAAATGGCTGAAATTTTACAAGTTAGCTTACCCAAAACTCTTCACGGTTTCATTTAAAAGACTAACGAGGGAAGGTTCCCAAGTGATCAATTGCTTTTAAGCCGAAAGTATGTGCATCATATAGATCCTAATGAGCTATGAATACTCTGAAAAGAATTCGGACTGATAGCTTATTACTGCTGAGATAATGCATTTTAAAGATATCTTTTTAGTTCAATGCCGTGGTCCCCTCAGAAACATCAGAAAAACTGAGTTTCGAGTTTCGACTTAAAAATTTGCACAGACATAGGTCTCAGCGAGCATAGTTCATTGGGAAAGTTTCAGATCTTTTCATTGTTCCTATCCTAAGATATTGCCGTAATAATTGCATGCTGTTTACATCGCTCATATACCATCGGATTTTGATGTTCTTATTTTCATATAGAAACAATCGGAAAGGCTGAAACTTTCACAATACACTATTCTTGCCGGGATCTATGTCTGTGCAATTCGAAACTCAGTTTTTCTGATGTTCCTAAGGGGGACCACGGAATTGAACTAAAAAAGATATCTTTAAAATGCATTATCTCAGCAGTAATAAGCTATCAGCTCGAATTCTTTTCAGAGTATTCATAGCTCATTAGGATCTATATGATGCATATACTTTCGGCTTAAAAGCGACTGATCATTTGGGGACCTTCCCTCGTAAGTTCTATCACAAAAGGTGCTTCATTCATCGAGCTCTTTCGTTTAATATAATATAGATGGGATTTCGAATCAAAAAATTTTTATAGGGCTAATTTGTCTACCAACCATCTCCTCGTCCTTCGTACTATATAAAAATAATTCCATACTCAAAGGATTAAGGGACAACCAATAATCATCAGTAAGTATAGACAATTTAACGCATAAATCTTCATGATATTCATATTATTAAATAATCAACAGATCGTGTTTTTTAAAGTTATTCAGGCTCCGAAATCTCAGGACGCGGTCGCCCGGACTCAATGGATTAATAGATGAGCAAATATTTGTTTATTATCAATAGAATATATATAAATATTTCCATTTGTTAAATCTAGATTTCGCAAAAAACTCAATAAATGATAATTATAAAAACTAAAATACAAATTTATTTCAAGAATATAAAAAAATAGTGTCTATCAATCAATTTGATTTATTTAACTATTTAATTGAAATAAATCATCAAATTTATATATAAATAAGACTTTGACTTAATGAATGAACTAAAATTGATAGAATACTTGTGATATGAATATAATGTAAATCAAATAATTGATAGTGATCGATTGCATTTTGTAAAATCATTGATAGAATTATTAAATTTGGTTTACGAGCAATGATTATTTCAAGCATAAATTCATTTCTATTTTTATCAAAAAAATTTTTTAATGACATTGAAGTTGAGACATTTTTATTTGATTGGGATTTTGAATTATGCTGTGAAGCTAATGGTTCCACTATTGACTTTGAATTATTCAAATAAGAAAAGACAAGGACATCAAACAAATGTGAATTGAAATTATTTCGATTTAATTTAAAATTTTGATGAAATATTTATTAGTGCATTTTCAATTGGTGTTATTTATTTGAAAGTGATTCAATTGATGGTATTTCTAGTGACACAAATAGTTCATATGTATTCATAATAAAATCTTGTCCTAGCCTCGTAGCAGCCTTGTAAAAAAATATAGGAGTTTATAGAAATTTAGAGGCCAAAAATATATAGGACCGCCCTGAACTATATAGGAAATACATAGGACGTGAAGTTTCCCCTACAAAATTTTCTTGGCGCCTAGAAAAACTGTTGCAATATCGTAGACTGTAATGAGATGAATATTGTCCACTTGTTCGATAAGCTAAATAAAAACAAGTATCATCAAGTAGCGAAAAGCAATGACACAGAAATCTCTTTCAACAATAAAAATAATAATTTCGGTTCGAGTTATTTTCAACCATTTCACTCATATATACAACAAAAGTGTAAAAGAAATAAATTAAACCTTTCGGCATCCTCATATTTGGTCCAACGGGGGAGGGGGGGGGGGCGGTAGCTTTCCAAAGATTCCCCTACCCCCTTCAGCCCTCAAAAACTTCTATCCATACAATCTTCGATTTTTCAAAAAATATAGGAATATAGGAAAAATGATCAAAATATAGCCCTACTACGAGGTCAGATCTTGTCCAATGTTAAGATCAATGAAGTTATGTTAAGATTTGTGTCAACAGACACAAGATCATACATATACATAAATACATCTTATATACTTTCCTTTTCTTTTCTCCTTATCTTCATCTAACCTGCGTGTAATAAGTCTTTGCACAAAATATATCTTCAATTTTCTTTCACTTCAAGGTTGAAGGAAACAATCAAAAGTAGTCAGCTAGAATGAGAATTTAATGCTCTTTCTAAGTACATATTCAGAATTTTTTTCCGACTTAAAGTTGATTCGATAAGAGCGAATTTTTGAAGGGAACCAAAAACGACGTTTGTACAAAACACCAGTTTCAAAGGTCTCAATGAGAATGTTTAAACATTTTTCGAACCTTTAACTGTAATTGTAGGGGATCGAAACTAGTTAGGTAGAACCAGAATTCGATACTCTTTTAAAATGCGTCGTGCGAACTTGACCCTGACTTACGGCTAGTTAACTATAAATAAATACCGGAGTAAATAAAAAATGTCGCTTGTGCTACGCAAAATAAACTTTTTTCTATGATGTGCAATTTCTTGAAAGAGTATTTTGGTATAGTTTTTCCTTCCTAGTTTTGTAGAGAATTTCATGCTCCACAAAACTATGGATTCCGATGAGTTGTATCTCAAAAAAGTCAAAATCTGAAAACAGTATTCCAAATGCTGTTCGGTAGCTGAGATCACATTTTTCAAAATAATTGGTTTTTGAGAATTTCGATATTTATAATACTATAGATTCTAATGATTTTCAGCGATGTATAGAAAACGAAGGAAAGTGTTCATTGTGTACAGCAAGCTCTGTTCTACAAACCAGCGTATAAGACGGCTTTTTTATAACTAGAATTGAGGCACTTTTAATCAATGCACAAAAATGCACTGCATAAAAGATTCTGTACAAACGTCGTTTTTGGTTCTCTTCAAAAATTTGCTCTTATCGAATCAACTTTTAGTCGGAAAAAAATTCTGAATATGTACTTAGAAAGAGCATTAAATTCTCATTCTAGCTGACTACTTTTGATTGTTTCCTTCAACCTTGAAGTGAAAGAAAATTGAAGATATATTTTGTGCAAAGACTTATTACATGCAGGTTATATATGGTGATTTATTGTCCATTCACGTTGAATCTTCATGATTCAGTTTATGTTTTCTTTTTTGTGGTACCGTTTTTTCCACATCATCATCATTGTTTAAGCGTGTATCGTGCATTTGCAAATAAAAACAAGTTCAAAATACCCTTGAACTAAACATTCACCTCAACAAGTTAATAATTAAAATAATTTCATTTAATTGACTTATGATTTTTGTTTGCTCTTTATTCTTGATAATAATTATTTCATTCTTTTGCAATTCTCTACCATAAAAATCATTATTATTATCATCAGCATATAATTAATTATATAAATATAGATATACCATCATTCATTCATGCAATGAATATTAATTTTACTCCGATTCAACCATTCGATATAATCCGAAAGATGGCATTAGTCTACAAACTAGAAGTTACATGCGATGGTAATATCCAATTTCCAGGAAATTCAAATAAAATACTCATAAAATAAATTTCCTGAAAATTCAATTCACTGCGTGAAGGTGGATGAAGTTTGAGTTTTTAGGACTATAATGTATTGGAAATTCATTTTGATATGGAAATCGATAAGAAGATATAGTATACTTGTGTGTGTTAGTTTGATCTGGGTTGGGTTGGGTTGGATTGGGTTGGGTTGGGTTGGGTTGGGTTGGGTTGGGTTGGGTTGGGTTGGGTTAGATTAGGTTGAGTTGAGTTGGGTTGGGTTGGGTTGGGTTGGTTAGGGTTGGGTTAGATTAGGTTGAGGTGAGTTGAGTTGAGTTGGGTTGGGTTGGGTAGGGTTGGGTTAGATTAGGTTGAGGTGAGTTGAGTTGGGTTGGGTTGGGTTGGAGTCGAGATGACTTAAATTCACTTTATATAAGAAGTGATATGAAGGCATAGTATATAAGTGCTTAATGGGGGCCCCCTCAGAAACGAACTTTGTTATTTCTCGTCCGATTTCACCCAAATTTTTGGAGGATATTAGTCTAGGATAGGATAGATTATGAGTGAAATATCTCCCCCAAATTTCTAATAAACTAATGAGTTATGGTCAATTTATTGGTCAAAAACACCCTGTACGTGGGAAAGGATTTCACAATAAGGATACAAGCTAACAAGCTCGAGCGTTTTTTAACTTGTAGAGTACCCTTAGGACCAGATCCTCACAGAGCCAGATTTTTGGATTTCCCTTTGTTTCATTTTTAAAAGCACATTTTCGAAAAATGTTCAAATTCAAAGAACTAATAAAAATGAAATATTAAAGTTTTTTATTTCACCAAAAGAGAAATTCAAAAATCGGAGCCTGTGAGGATCTAGCCCCACCTACCCTCTATTCAACAAAAAAAAATTGTCCCTTCTTTATTGAGGCGTTATCAAGAAATCCTTCCCCACGTAAACAGTATGCTCGAAAAAATTAATTTTGAGAAAAACGAAAAACAAAATTTTTTGATGCAATAAGTGTCTTTATTCAAAATAAGTCTGCTTATCTACCTAGCATTTTCGGACTATTCCTCAAGCTTTATTGGTGGCCTGTATGTGGATATATCATAATGTGGTTAATAGAAAAATTTCAGCTCTGTCGGTCAAACAAAAGTATGAAAAGTATCATTAACACTGTATTCTCAGTATCCCTCAGTAGCATATCCTCAGAAAAAAATTCGTCAGAAAAAAAGACCAATATACACACTTTGCCAAAACAAATTATGCCAGGTTGTAGTTCATCACAAGGGCTATCAGTATATGTATAAATCTCAAAATCGAGTTTTTTTCGAAAAATTGACTTTTCTGAGGGGGGCTTAATGCGTTGACTTGGGCTCATTACAGCTAAAATCAAAGTGAGTTAAGAAATACATTTTTATTCAAGGAGTAATATGAAGAGATAACATACATCTTTCTTGTTTAGTTGAATCGAGATGAGTTGAGTTAAACGTCCAAACGAAATAAATTATAATACAGAATACGTATAAAATCGTGCGTTGAGTTTATGCGAAGGACGAACTGAGTTAAGGAATGTGCTTTATATGAATAAGAAAGAAGTATTATGAGTATAAATCTGCATTTATATAGCAAAAGGATGTGGGTGTGGGTGTGGATGTGAGTGTGGGTGTGGGTGTGGATGTGAGTGTGGATGAAGATAAGACACCGACACCCGCACACACACCCACACTCACACCCACACCCTTACAGAATAGAATTACAATTGCAAAAAAAAAGATTATTCTATATCTATGTGAAACTCTTCTAATCTTATTAATTGGTACAAAAACTATTGATTTGTAAAAAGATAAAACATCATTTTTACCATATTGATAGAAGCCCAGCTTGGTTAAGTTAGCATCTGCTTCATGCATAAGTAAGAATTTATTTCCAGTAGCTAATTCCTTGTGTAAACCAGCACCAGTTATATCATAAATAACAGACTTTTTTCCGTCTTCAACATAAACTTCAGGAAAAAGATTCTCACATGTTTTGTAACAAGATTGAACAATATTTATGAGGCCACTTTTATCCGAACCTAAGCCAATTGTAGAATCAGCTTTTGACTTCAGTTCCATTAAAGATATTTTATTTATATAAAAAATAAATCAAATAAACGTTATTCTTTTAGCAGTAGCTCTTCTTATTATAGCGATATGCATTTTCTAATTATGGCCACAGTTCTACTCATATGCTAGATGTCGACAGATCCTTATGCTACCGAAAGTACTAATTCTATCTATTATAAAATGTGAAGCAGTAATGGCACATAAACGGTATATGATGAAATTCCAGTTGAATCTTGAACTTATGAATACTAATTCGTCATGTTATCAGATTTATAAATACAGAATGACGTCTTCTAATTGGAATCAACCATCTGCAATCCATTGTACAGTTAATACACACATATGAATTTTCTGTCCATTGTCGATTACACGTGAATCTAACAAATAACCGAATATCATAGTATATATATATATAAAATACGTCATCGTTTCCATATAAAAATGAATTTCCAATACATTCTCACTCAACCCAACCCAACCCAGCGCAACCCAAGATTTTTAAGTATATATTTATATCATTACAAATATTAATATGAATTTCCCAATAGAATAAACTTTGTTCAATTTTAAAGTATAATCTCTATTGGTTTGTATTTATATACTATATCTTTATAAGCATATTTCAATTACGTTCTTTTATCAAACTGGAGTTTAGAAAAAAGATATAGTTATATCCTTATTTATCGTACAAGATATTTTTATGTCTTAATAAAGAATCAAGTGTTATGTTAAAATTTTTGAATTTCCAGGAAATTTATTTTATAAGTATTTTATTTGAATTTTCTGGAAATGGAAATTTTCCATGCTCTCAGAAGTTAGCGATGTTTCTTGTTATTAGATTGATATAACTAACCAATCATAAATAAAGTAACATCTACGATGAAATTTTATTGATCTTTATGTTTTTTTTTATCCATAAGATCTTTTTTACTCAAATTGAAATAATGTGTTTTGCTATTATTCCTTGTCTATTCATAGTATTTTATCAATAAATTATTTTCAGATAAAAGTTTTTTTTATCGTAATCGTTCTGGTTTTTCTTGTTATTTGAAGTTAAAATCATCAAAATTTTCAAATTGATTATTATTTGTAATATAATTTCATTGTTTTGATTTATTAATTACAACTATTTTTGGGTAAAAATGCAATTTGTGAAGGTGTTTGACAACCAACAAAAAAATATTACTAGATTGGTTTTGGATTCAAATAATAAAATTAGTCACGATTATTTTAAACGAACATTTCCCGATGCTGTTGGTTTAGCTGAGAGGGATGAATATGGTTCTATTAGGTCTGTTGGAAAAAAAGAAGAAGAAAATTTTGAATAATATATTTCTTGCTTTTTTTTCAGTATACCGTCTGATGAAAATAAAAATTTTACTTGGAATTGGAACGAAAATGTTGTTTACGATCTGATTTATTCTGATTGTAGGAAAAAAAAAAACTTAAGATATTCTATCATCACAAATGTTCTCTTTTTTTTCAGCACGTAGTAATCGGCCTTTCCCATCGACATCATCGTCATCATCATCAACAATAACATTAAAGGATAAAATTTGGGCATGGATCGGACTAGCCAGAGGTAAGAATCTTCTATATTATTTCAATTAGAGAAAGTCTACTTTATTTTTCACTATAAATTAACTGAAATTAATTCGGAAGGTTTTTTTTCTGATGATAGGATTATTCTCATCAACGAAACCAACTGATCAATATAAAAAATTAAATTAATAAATGAATTATTGTAAAACATCTGTACATTTTTTTATGTATTAGTTTGTATATGTGTATGATAAATATACATTGTTTATAAAAAATGCTCTTCTGTACTCACTTAAAAGGTATGATTATAAAACGTTCGTTATTGCTTATTTTATTGCATGATTCGAGTTCCAATGTCAATGTAGAAATTTTTTATACCAAATTTTCTGAAAAACAAAAGAAAAACTAATATTTTTAAATGACTTAAATTAAATTGATTGCTATTTTATTTCAATTATTGATAAATAATTCTTGAGGGTTAGTTTTGTTTCAGTTGTAATAAAATGAAATAAATAAGTAAAATAATTCTATTTTATTTTCACTATATATATAGCAAATATTATATTATTCTAATTTAACATAAATAGGATAATTACGTTGAATTATATTTTAAATAAATATTTAACTCTATTCAATTTACTTTACTTATTTTAATTCAAAATAAACATACTTCTATTGCATAAAATATAGTTTATCTTATTTAAAACTAAAATAAAAGCATCATTATTTTGAATAAAAATAAATAGATCAACGAATTACTAAGAAACTAATCGATGATATATAAAAATAATTGAATAAAATCAATACTACTTGGAAATATCTATAAAGAAAGAATAATTAATTTCGAAAGATTATATATAGAAAGAAAAAATTTAATTCAATATTGAAAGAGAAACACCATGTGCATTCTCGTACCGAACTACACCATTAAATAAATATAACGATTTTTCTTTTCTTCATATTGTATAATATGTTGTGACTACTGTCCACTTACGAGCCCTCTCTGAATGATAGTTTTTTGAAGTACGCGTACCATATGTGTGCTTATCGACGTAGGATATCATATTTGAAAGAAAACCTCTTATTTCTGTTTTATTTTGTTAGTTAAACATTTTTTATCAGCTTGCGAACTCGAATCATGCAAGTATTGCTTTTCATACTTTGCTTTATTGATGCCTTTTGTGCTTTCTATACAACAGTTTCAACGAACATTACATTTAATGCTCTATTTTCTAGGAATTATTATCTTATGGATTGGTGGAGCAAGTTCATCTTTATATGCAAATTTGTATGAAGATGTAGTCAAATTGGTTATGCCTGGTTCATCTGATAATCAACCAAGCCCACGGCTTTTATTCGATCGCGCTCTTATGTTATTGCTTATATCCATTACTTATATTTTATCTATTACATTTTGCACATCTATATTCATCAAAAAGATGTGGATAAAAATAGTTACCTGGTTCAAAACAATCGAAATTGAAGAATTAACTAGATATCCTTTAACACCAATACAATTTAATCCTCATGTTACAACAACATCCTAAGAATGTTTTTTCCATTTTTTTTTTGTTCATTCTTATTCATATTGACTTTATCTTTTGATTTGTTGTTTTTATGAATATAAATAGTAAAAATATATAAATGAGAATGGAACAAATAGAAGAAGAATAAAAACAACCATTAAATAAATAAATATACTATTGAATCAGAAATTAAACTAGACGAATTAACTAATCGATTAAGACAAATATTATTAATTATAATATTTTGTTCATTATCAATTATTTCTCCAATAGAAAAAATGTCTAAGGTTGAGATAAGCTACATACACTTTCATACACTCTAAAAAACAAGTAACGCTCATCTAAGGATTCGCTCACCCTTTTCTGAAAGAAGAAGAATATTAGAATTAATACTTTTTCTGTAAATAAAGTAAATATTGTTAGTTTTTCTTCATTTTTTCTAAACTATGCTGTCTCTCATGTAATTTTCTTAAATTTAAAATCAAGTATTGCATTTTGAGACATTCTGTTTTTATCGAAATGTTCTTTGAAAAGTTGTCGTCTTCCGTTAGAGTTCATTCCTTCGTTAATTGAATCCCATAGATGTACTTTGTAACAGCTATAGTATTTCTCATATCTTCATTCACACTCCTGTTTTCTAATAATCTCTTGATGAAAAATTTTGTTCAACATCTATTTATTTTTGTCGAGTTTTGAAAAAATAATGTTTAACTATGCATTTTTTTTTTATCTGCATTACTTATTTTTGACCTATAATCGGTTTGAGGTTATAGTACAATTGGCTGTAGAGAATAACTACAATTTTCTTTTGACAATAGAAAGTTCTAGTAGATTTTTCTATTTTCTAGGAAAGTACTCAGCTAGCGAAATCAAGTTAGATTCTTTACAAAAGTCAATATGAATTCATTGTTGATTTTTTAATTAAAAAAAAAAATAAACATTTGAATTTCTATTCTTATTGAATACCATATTTTTAAGAAAGCAAAATATCATTGATAAATCCATAGAAACGTTTCTAGAATATCTTTCCTCATTCTCTATTATGTATTTTTTAGTTTACAGTCTCATTGAGAGTTATTATTTCTGTTTGGCTTTTTGCAACGTCGTTTCCAAACGAAGCCGTGATGATACTTCAGACTCTCAAAATGTTTTTTTCATTTTTCTTGCCCATTGAAGATATTTATTTGTCTCTGATTGACTTAACAAACACACGGATGATACACATACTGCGCAGTTTCGTTCGAATACTCTCAATGCGAGAGTGAAATACTGTGTGACTCTTCCTGGAAAGACGTCTTTCATCTGAATCATTATCATTAATTTCATTATTATTTACTCGCGCTTATGTTCAGTATTGAGTTGTTCAGCTTTTCATTTCTGTAAACTATTTCTTCTGTTTGCTGTTTTTTTTAAATAGTGTATTCAAACTTTTGAAATTGTTCACTAATTCATAATAGTCTTGATAAGATGTTCGTTCGAAGTAAACCAATTATTTATTAATTTTTTTACTAGCCCCAAGTTTCCTTTCTTTGATTCTCAATCCTTCGTATATAGCTTTCATCAGTTCGTATTTGACATATTATTGGTGTAACTGTAAAACTATTATCAAAATGACCTAATTACATTCGTTGCAGTGTAGTGTTTGCTTAGTGTGCTATTGGGTTTTTTTCCTTGAGGCATCATTTTTCTCTTCCAAGACAGTCGTAATCTAAATCTCTTCTCATTCGGAAAGAAAAGAATTATTTCTCATATGAGCATGTATAACGACTTCTATTTAAGAGATAAAATGATCTATCTTACATTGTTACATGAAACATAATGAATTAATGATAATACTCGTAATATGAGTCTGTTTATCGTTTTTCTACTGTTATTCAAAAAGAAGAAGTGTCAACTTTCAATATGGTGAACATTACTACAGGATGACAATAAGAAAAGAAAAAATATTTATATACAATTCTAGTTCTTTCTCTTTTCTCTTTAACAATGTTGTCTCGAACACATTGGAAATTTGCACGTCTTCTTTTTGAATAAAGGTAGAAAAATGATAAACGAACTCGTATTACTAGTCTTATCATTAATTAGATCTATCTTACATTGGAGTTATAATTTTATATGGTATGCTTGAGATTAGTTGCATCTATTTTGGTGCATGATTTATTTATTTAGTAAAAAAAACTATTGAGATAAGCATGCTGACTATTTTAGAATCGTAGATAGAAGGCTGGATGTTTATCAGAGACTAAGTTTTGAAGCTGTTTATCATTCGATAGAATGGTCACTATGTGATATGTTCTCAAATTATAAATTTTTGGCTATATAATTTAAGTTACAGCTTGATATTGTTCAGAAACCATTATACTCCTTTTTATAACAATCAATGTTCTAATAAAATTTTTTCACTTCAATTGAAATTTCTATTTTTATTTTTATTAATGAGTTATCAGACTGAGTTTATTAATAAAAAACTATAGAACATAGCTTCTCTTCAGTTGATGTAATCTCTGACACCACTTACGGAACTATAGTCAAAAATATCATATCTGAGAAAGAAAATATCATACATAGTGATTATTTACGAACACTTTTATGATTCTGCACGCTCTCTATAGTTTCTTTGTACTCTATATCCTGGCTTAGAAAACTGAGAAATCATGTTTGCATAGAAAAAGCAATAGATTATTGAGCATGCAACTTTCATTAACATCATTTGTATAACGATTTACAATGTATATATTAGGAAGGCACTAGAATAAGCCATAATATGAACAGCGTATCGAGTTTCAATATTTCTTCTGTAGTTAATGAGCACAGATCAGCTCTAAAGCATTAAAGGAAATATACGCTATTGTGTACCATTAATGTGCTGTTTAAACTGTGCTCTACAGAGATTATTATTTAAAATAAATGATTTTTCAGGATATTTAATCTGTTTTCAACTATTACAAGTATTTTTCACGTTAGTTATTACTATAATAGCAGACACATGCCTTTTTTTAATGTGTAGGAAACACTAAAGTATTGGAAGAAAGCACTCAGTGTATTTGCTGTAGGCTTTAAATTTGGAACATGATAGATTAAATCTATCAGTCTATGAGAGTCTTAACCACATCGATTCTGCTTGGAGAAGATTAGATTGACGACAATTCTGAAATATCTGTCACAGTCTTGTTGCTAAAGAGCTTTATATATTCTGCTTGTCATGATTCATGAGCGAAGGCAGGAGGAACTATGAGTGATATCACTTTTCTTGAGATATTCTTCAACACCCATTTTGTAATCTTGTTTCGCTAAATACGAAGATGAATTTGTTAACAGCGATATATTTCGAAATTAGGGAAAAACATGTGGAGCAAATATTCGGAGTTTTTCGGTTCCGTTTCCAGCTAGAATTAATTGTCGATGAGAAATGCGTACTAAGTTCGTTTAACTTCTTGATTTTAGAAACTGAAAGAAGCAGATCAGAAATTTGCATGAGAGATGTGTTCCTCAATAATCACGTGTAAATACAATATTTGTAATTCAATTTTGATAAGTGGTGTAATCGTCTATATGATTACAAAAAATTTCCGAAAGTCTACCCGGTAATGGTAGTAATTTCAACAGTTTGTTTGCCATATATTGATGTTTTAGTTATGGAATACTGGATGTATTCTTGTCGTATTAAGTCCTAATAAAGCCGTTTTCATGTTACTATTGCTTATGCAGAAAGTCAGAAGAACTGAAGACAAAATATTAGATGAGGACAAATGAGTATTTGATGAAGTACAACGAATCTTCTGTTTCGAATTTGTGTGCGTGTTGATCAAGAGAAGACTCAGATTCTCATCCATACACGACTTTTTAACATTTTGAAATTTTTATTTTTCGACTTTTTTACGTTCTACATCAGTGGAAGGAACTTACGAATTACTGAAGAAATATTTAACTTGAACTCAGATCAAATATCGTTCATCTGGTGTAGAATACGAAACCCAATCACTCAATGGTGTGCACTGATAGTCCTATCTTTGGTTAATTTTGCAGTGATCGATCAATATTTTTCTACAAACTGCAGTCCCCTCATGCGACAATTGAGTACTCTCAAATTAGCAAAATATCTCACTGCTATAGCAAGTATTGCTTGGTTTTTCTACAACGTTCCATTTGCCTTCTTCTTTGATATAAAAGCGACATTTGGTTGTTTTTTCAGCAGCATCAATTTAGTTCGCTACTACTCATTGTTTCATTTACCTATTTTACATGGCATCTTACCAATTGTTTTAGCATCCATATTCAGTATAATGGCTTATCGAAATGTTCGACGTATTCATCGACAACAAATGAGCAATACTCAACGACTGCCTGATCAACAGCTAACAGCTATGATTCTTGCTCGAGTGATACTTTTTGTTCTTTGTCTTTTACCTTATATTGCACAACGTTTCTACACTATAAATACACAGAATCGTAAAAATCAAACACTTCAAATTGCAATTGAACTACTCATCACAGCCACCAACATGTCTATCAGCTATCTCAATGTTTCTGTATGTCATTTGCTTTGTTGTTGTGATTCCTTTGATGTCATTCACTTTAAAAAATTTGTAGGATACATTCTATGTATATTTGATCTCCCCCGTACGATTTCGTCGTCAAATAAAATCCGTTCTGATGAAAAATAGCAGGAAATATCTTCGAAAGATGCCAAAGAATTGTCGTCGACCATCCATGAATAATCAAGTAGCACCAATCGCGAATAGCGATGTCAACTATTTGAATTACTGAAGATAGACAAAACTGTCTTTACGAACAAGCATATTTTTTACATCTATGAACACTTCTCTATGTGTTTTTCGACTTCAATCCACCAATGCAAATATTTTTTGGATCGAAATGCATCTGAAATGCAAAGGACTAACTGCTGTAAACGCAGCTCAGATAGAACATTTTTTTACGTTTGAACATGATATGTTTCAGAAACGTAATTGAATGCATTGACAATTTGAAGTGTGTCTGCAAGCGTTGGAAATGAAACTTTA